TAAGAATACGTAGCTCATTAATTTTTATTTGCCTGGGTTGGTGTTACAAAAATATGATGTAACCTTTAAACATTATCGTTATGCTTTTTCTTTGTATAACTTCACAATAGTAATTAGCATTAGGTAATGATCGAACTATATACTTTGGAGTTAGATCATTATTTACGTTTTGCATAATAATTAGTTAGAGTCTAATGGGTGAGATATCACGTTTATATATTTTTAAGCTCTGTTATAAGTTTATATAAACTTTGCGATGATTTAGGCTGTTTTTTTTTTAACAGTGTTGAGTGCTTTAAAATATATTATGTTACATTTATTGTTATCGCATTGTTTTAATTGATTAGGCTTACTTAAACTATTTTTAAGTCTTCTTAGTTAATAATAAGCATCACCACCAAGATATCTAATAATAGATAGGTGACCTGTCAGTTGTTTTCGGCCCAAATTAAATTTAATTTGGGTTGAAATCAGAATTCATTAATTGCTTCCTTTTGAGTACGTAAAGATCACATGACAATCACTGATCTGTCTGATCTGTATTTTGTTTTGATTTCATAAAAAAAAAATTTAGTTTCAACTTTTTCCTATTATAGTATATAAAAATGTTAAATAAAGAAGCAGTTCAGAACTTTATCAAGAATTTTTTTAATCAAGAAGAGAAGAAGCTCAATGAAATTTCTTTAATTAAGTTTTTAAACTTTTGCAAGATTAAACTTGCCAAAAAAGGGTTGAAATTAGAGTACAAAGATAAACTTTTAATACATCAGCTTTATAGTAATAAACTGAAAGAATTAATATCAGGTATATATTGATTATTCAAGCTGAAATAAGAAGATATGAAATTTTTTCAGGTGATAAGAAGTGGAATAAAAAGTTTACAATCAAGCAATTAGAAGAAGATTTAGAAATATTTAGGTATGGTCATTTAAGTCTAGATTTTATATTAAAAATAGTATAATATCTATGATTTTTTTGTATAAGCTAGTAATTCAATACTATAAGGAACAACATAATTTCCACTGCATAACTCAATGCTAAAACTAGTTTGCTAAATAGCCAAGATTTAGTTGTTTGCAATATATCATCTAATATCTTGTGCATTTTAATTGAATTCTTGTAATAATTGTCTATAAAAATTGGTTGTTTTATGTTCTAAGGAGAATTTGGATGTTTGCAATATATCATCCAATACTCTTTAAAATTTCTATAATATGCAAAATATTTTCCTAATTATATCATAGATTTTAGCTGATTGCATTATATATGAGAAGTTTTGGCGAAGTACTTTAATTAAAATTTTTATCACCATATGGGCTTCCGTCAATAGAAATCAGGCAGATCTACATTTGAAAAAAAATTAATACCTTAAATTTCACAGCTCATATCTCGATGAATTTTAAAGATATATTGATGATTTAATATTCAAAAGAAAGCTTACGACCTAAGCTTTCTTTTAACTATTAAATCATCAAGATATCTTTAAAATTCATCGAGATAAGAGCTGTGAAATTTAAGGTATTAATTTTTTTTCAAATGTAGATCTGCTTGATTTCTATTGACGGCAGCCCATATTACTAATATTTATAACTCTTATGAATTAATAGAAACAAATAGAAAATAGAAACTACTTGATTCTTCAGTTTTGGGCTAATATTACAAAACCAAATACTGGTAAGATTTCAATCACAATCCCAGATTACAATTTATCTTTTGAGGTTAAATGTGATTAAGAAAATAACGATGTTACGGAATTTTAATTTTTTTTATCTAGAAAATAACAATATGGGTATTCTATCAAATGTGCAGACCACTATTTATTTATGCACTGATAAAAAACAACTAATAACTACCATAAATTATCTGAAAAATATTTCAGAAGCTTAGATTAGAGAAATTCTTCTGCGAGCAGAAATTCAAAAAAAAGAAAAAATTATCGAATTATATATGAACTTTCCAGTAAGTTCTTTAAATTCTAGTATTTTATTAATACTGTTATTTTTTATTAATATCTATTCAAATTATAGACAGATACAAAGCCACAATGGTTTTTCAAAAAGCTAAAAGATCTTGGTAAAATAAAGGAAAAACTTTTAGAACTCCCTATAACTGACCCATTTTATTGTTTCATAGTAAATTTCAACAGTGAAATTTGGTAGTCTATTTATTAAAGGAATGCTATTTTACGTATTGAAAATGACAACTTATTTAAATTTTTAATGGAACAATATGATGACATCAATAACGCTATAGATTTAGCATTTAAAAAGTATAATCCAAATTTTGAACCTTCACCTCAAATAGAATTAAATTCTAATTTAGAAGATTTATACCAAAATTATTGTAAACAAATTATGAAGTCATGGTAAGTCTTATATTGTTATATTTTTTTTAATTTTGTATTTTAACCTCATTATTTTCTCTTTGTTATATAGGCTACTTGAATAGATCAACCTACCTGCATTCAACCTTGAATCACATTATGTTTATAAATATGTTTATTATCCTCTTGATGCTGTTTTAGATAGCCTATTGCAACACTTTCATCTTCATGGGTAAGATAATTTACCTGGAATTTATTACACAAAACTTTTTAAAATTATTTAAAACAAATAAATTAATAAACAATTAGTCCTGAACATCCTGCAAAGTATATTGTCGAACAAAAAAGGTGGCATCATCAGCCACTATTTGGATTATCTTCATCTGCTTTTAATCAAGCCCAGGAATATTTTAATGATATTGAGGTTACAGAAGAAAATATTATTTTTGATGAAATTATAAATAAAGAGAATGAAACAAATTATCTTCAGCCAATTGGAAATTCTGAATCCTACTATGATGATATACGTGTTTATCCTCGAAAGGTTAATACTGCGATCACTTATACATACAAAGAACACTCATTATATCTCTTGATGTATGAAGTAAAATTACTGAATGCATCAAATTGCGGAGTCAATAATAAGCTTATTCGAGCTTTAAATAATGCTATCAATGATTTTATTATATTTTTTTCAAAAACTACTAAAATTATTACTTCTAAACTAAACCTTCTTTTTATTAAAATGAGATAGGTTGGGTTATTTGTTTTTGGTAAGATGTTTTTAGACTTATGTGAACTAATCTTATATGATCCAATATTAAATTTCTATATTAAATATTTGTTCTTTTAGATGGACAGATACAGCTTATATTATTACATTTTAATTCAGAAAAGCTTCGATTCTCTTGGTTGGCACGTGAAGAGATTATTCCTACCTCTTTTGAAAACCATGATGTGGAATCAATAATTGAGATCTATTTAATTGTAAAAGTTTGTAATGATGCACAATTTTTATACTTCAAAATATTTAAAATATTTATACAATTTGTTCATTTTAGGAAATCATGAAAGAAAATTATGAAGTAATTTTAAAAATAATACAAGAAATAGAAAGGAATTTTTCTCAAGAGAGATCTATTCAGTCAATTGAATATCTTAAGAAAGTTATTTGACCACCCCTGCCTCACCCCTAAAATGTAAAAAAGCAAATTGTTTATCCAAAGAATAGGATCATATATTTGTCTAACTTTTTTTTAGTTTTAGTAAATTTTTAGAAAATTATTATTTTATTTACAATCTCTAGTAAAATATTTTATATAAACTTATTCCATCTATATATAAGCTTGATTTAATTAGTTGACCGACCATCCAATGTATACCCTACCTTTAATCTAACTATCAAAAAGATATAACGATAATGACTCCTCCTTATTTTTATAGTAATTTTCTAGCCAATTTAAAGCATTTTTTTGATATTCTACACTATTTGAGAGTTCTTTAAAGAGTTGACAAGCTTTGTCGACATCTTTAGTATCACTTTTACCATTTGTATAGTATGTTGCCAACTCAAATTTTGCAGCATTTAAAGCATTTTTGTAATCATTTTTAAACCTATTTTTCATAAAATAATCTAAATTTTTTCCTAAAAGGTTTGAATAGTTGATAAGAGCAGTTTTTGTATCTTTCTTGACACCTATCCCAGTTTCATAACATTTTGCCAATATAAATTTTGCATCATCTTTATATATTGAATTACTTTGTGCAATACATGTAAAGTTTTTAAATACAATTTTTTCATTTTTTTCAATACAGATTCCATCTTTATAAAAAAATGCTAAATAATAAGCTGCTTCATCTTTATATCTTGAATTACTTACTTCAACTTGTTTAAAGAATTTATAGGCACTATATGCATCTTTATTAATATCTTTATAATGCAATGCCAGATAATATTTTGCATCATCTTTATATTTTAAATCACTTAGTGAAACTTTTTTAAAAAGGTCATAGGCTTTAAGATGATCATTTATAATAGGTTTTGGTTTTCCATCTTTATAATGCAATGCCAAATAATATCTTGCATCAGCTTTATAGTTTGATTTTATTCCTTCTCTAGCTTAATAACATCTTCGAATTTTTTAAAAGAAGTTTCATACTTTCTATTATTGTAATCCTCAAGTGCCACTATAAACAAATGTTTAAGATTCTTCTTTTTATCCATGTTTTTGTTTTTGTCTGGCAAATTTTTGTTCTTATATAGTAGACAACTTCACAATACAATTAATAATAATTTTTAATTTTATTGTTATAATTGATATTTAATTAACGCTATTCAATTCTAGTATTCAAAATAATTTAGATTAAATCTGTTCCCAATTCTAGCCCTTTTTTTTAGTTAGTTTGTCTTTTAATAAAATTTTCTCTATAAACATCACATATCCATTAAATTTAAATAGAAAACGTATAATAACCGATCAATACAAAAATGGTGTCGCATTAATAATAATTTATGAATAAAAAGTTTTTTTTTCAATGATTCATAAGTGTGACATTTGAAATTTAATATTTAATTCCCATCACTAAATTAATATACTTTATTTATGATTTTATTGTACTTGTTTAAATACGGTTTTTTTTCTTATTATATAAATCTTCAATTGAATTAAATTCAATTCAATGTATTAATTTTAAGAATTTTAGTATGGGACTAACAATGCGAAAAATATAGAGACTTAAAAATTAAAAATTCAAATGTTATCAATTGAAAAAATATTATGAAAACTTCATAAAGTGTCCACAATTCTGCAGTGCATATTTTTGCCATCAAAATGTGGGGAAGTTCAAATAGTATTACTAAAGTACAAATTTGGGCAAAATTAGAATATAAACTTGGCAAAATTAGAGACCCTAGTTTTGAGCATATAAACATCATGCAGAATTAGGGTTTAGGGCAAAATTTAAATATAAATTTGGGCAGAATTTGAATATAAATTTGGGTAAAAAAATTAAATTATAAATTTTGGCAGAATTAAAGTTTAGTTTAATTTGGGCAGAATTAGAATATAAATTTGGACAAAATTAAGGTATAAATTAGGATTTAATTTGGGCAGAATTTGATTATAAATTGGGCAAAATTACAGTATAAATTTTGGTAGAATTAGGGTAAAATTTGGGGCAGAATTAGAATATATTGTCGTTAAAGCAAATTTTTTTGTTTATACAATAGTTTTATATCAAAATTTCGCATTGCTAGAACCTAAGAGGTTGTTTCATACTTAATTTTGTCTGAAAATATATTTTGATTTTATCTGGAATTATACTTGAAATTAAAATTTAATTTTTCCTGGATTTATGTATAATTTTGCCCAGAATTATTATCAGAACTCTATACCTAAATTCAATATGCAATAAATTATTACAAAGAAATGAGCAAGAAGTTGGATTAAATTTTTATTGAATTTATTACTATTAATAAATTTAATTTCAATAACTTTAAATAGTTTATTTTTAACCAAATATTTTATTATAATTTCTTGCTAATTATTTTTTTTTTTTTATGAAAAAGCTTCAAACATTGAAATAATATTAATGAACTTTAATTGTACTATTTGTAAATTGAATAAAAGTTCTTATATATTTAATTACAAATAGGAAATTGGTATCTAATTTAATATCAAGCTTTATTAATTCCTATATATTCAAAAATGCGATATGTATTGCATTATTAAAAATCTTACGTTTTAATTTTAAAACTTTAACAATTTAAAGATATTTTTTAATCTTATATTTCGTGTTGGCGGCCAGACCAGCGTTGACAGAATCTTTCAAGATGAATTCTTTGAGATTTCAAAAAATAAAAAAAGCAATTGATTAATAATCAAGAATTCATTATATATATAACCAATATGATGCATTTTGTTCTTACCAGTTTCTGTATTTTTTTACTTTATAACAGTAATAACAAAATACCGAATGCAAACTAATTGCTAAAAATTAAAAATTGTAAATTTTTATGCAAAAATATTTTTTATAAAGAATTTGTAATACAATTTACCAGCTGTTAATAAAATAAGAGCAATGTATCTAAAAAATTATGAATAAAATGTAAATAAGAATTTAAATAATTTTCGATTAAAATTTCTTGTTCATACGTATATTCAATTCCTTTATACATAGGATACCGCTAGTTTGATCAAAAAGGTTGACTTTTGCCAATACTATAATAAAAGGATTTAAGTACTGAATTGTCAACAAGAAGATATCGTATTTATTAGATCATTAATTGTTACCAAGCGATAGACAAAGAAACGTGAGAATAAAAGTTGGAAAAAATAGTAATGCCAACAAATAGTTTTTTTTCACCCCTTCAGATATTTTTTAATTTGACTTTATTTAATTGTCACTATATACCATTTTAATTTTATTATATGCGGTTTGTTGAATTCTGGAATCATTGTAAATAAATTTATTACTTAATTTTTATATTACAATAGATAATGACAAACTTTTTTTTCTATTATTGGTCAGTTCTTTCAAAAAAACATAATTTGTAATAAACTAAATAGAAATACACAATTTAATCAGCCTTATGAAAGTTTGAATTGCAATAGAATTTAATTGCTTTCTTATTTGAATAGTTTTATTTTAAATTGAATTTTATTTAACAATCAAATTGTTGTTATAATTCTATTACATTATAAATAAAGTTAACAGTTTAAGCAAAATATTCTACGCACCTAAAAATACTTCCCGAACTCTAATTTAACTCTAAAGTTCGTGATTCACCAGGAAACCAGTAAAAAAGTATAGTATAGAAAAGAAAGGTGCCCCACTCTGGGTGAAGTTCAGACAAAATTAATTAATTTAGAAAGTAAAATTAAAAAACAATCATTTTCTGATCTTTGGAAGGAAGTTCCTTCTATACGTAGCCTTCAAGACCAAATTTTTTTTATTGAAAAGAAGTATATTCAAGCTGCTAAGGATACTTTCAATAAAAATAATATATTGGATTCAAAAATAATTTACAAAATATTTAAAATATTTTCTCAAGGCCATTTTATTGAACATGAATTGTTAGCCAATTACTACTTAAGTTTATGCTATGAAAAAGGGTTTGGATGTATTAAAAATAAGGAAAAGGCTTTAGAACATATGATTACCACTGCAAAGCATAGTAACAATGGCGCCAAAAAAGTACTGAAAAAAAGAAATATAAAATAGGATTAACAAAGATATGACCCTGAAAATAATGATATTATTCAAACTTTTTTTTTGAATTTAGTTATATGATAATGTACTTTAAATACAAGTTCTTGAAAAATATAGGCAAAAACATATTTCCAATTACAGTATAAAGAGAAAATATAAGGATTGCTTAATAAAGCAAAATTTATTCTCTGAATGAAATAACAGTCAATTTTTATTTTCTAATGTACAAGAGAATGCCAAAAATTTCACATTTTGTATAAATGCGGATGGCAGAATTAGATTTCATTATGAAAAAAATATAAAATAGTAATAAACTTTAATACGTTAGTTCTAATCTCATTTTAACAATATCTTTAATAATTACACTTTTTTTTATATTTCATTTCATAAAATTATTGTTGATTTTATCTTTCCGTTTTTGTACAATTTGTGGATTTGTAAATTCTTATATTATCAGTTAAACATTAAAAAAGCCTTTTTTAGCTTGCCATAATTTTATTAGTTATAAAAAATTTTGCTTTTATTAAAATTTATAATCTTTACAAAAAAAATAACATTAAAAATTGTATCTAACCCAAAAAGTGGTTATCAATTCCAAATCTAAATTATCTGAACCTAAAACGCGTTTCTCTAATTCCGAATATGATTTTATTTTTTTTTTAAACTTTCATAGAAATAAAAAAAAGTTCTATTTTTTTTTGTTCACACTCATCGTAAAATCATCTATTGGCATTCGATCTGTTTTTTTTCAACAAATATTAAGGTCAACATATTTGTAGAGAATTCTAAAGGCCCTACGAAATTCATTAATAATCTTTTTAAAGCTAACATGATTTATACCATTTCCAAGATTTCTTGACGTGTTAAAAGGTTCTTCTACACATAGGTTCAAATAACCCCACTTTTTTTTCCGCTTGTTAAGGAATTTGCCTTTCGAAGGAATATAACTTTACTATTATAATCAAATGTGATAAATTTTTGTTTTTTCAAGTATGTAATTGTTACAGCTGATGCTGATGCTTATACATGGGTGCCTAAATTGCCAATCTTAATAAAAAAGTAATTACGCATTTAGGCAGCTAAAATTAGTCTTATATAGTGCCAAAAATAATTTTCATATTTGCCA